CACCGTCATTCTGTCTTGTGTTGGTCTATGTTAACAGAATACACGTTTATTTTTACGCCAACAATGCACCTTATGAAATAGTTGCAAATGTTAAATATAATCTTGTGAAATATGAAACAATAAACTGAAACTGAAACAGAAACCATACGTATACAATAACTTTCAAAAAATGCCTACATTTCTTTTCTAGGGGCGGCGGAGCGTCTTCCAGAGTGGTGGTGTCGGTGGTGGGGGGGGGGGGGCACCAACAAAATTACATTATCATTCAGGGATGATTTCAATATTTTGTTTCTCTCTTTACATGGTACATAATACTGCTTTAGCATCACTGATACTGACCGGTGTGGGGGTAATGTGAGAAGAAACATTTGTGTGATTATTTACAAGTTTTACAGAATACATCATTACGTACAGTACTTTTACCCCAATTTATGGAATTATTTTGACAATGATTTATTCCTAATAGATCTAGATAATAGTATACATTCTCAGATTTTATTGACAATTTGCCTGTTTGTTTTGCGTGACTGCTAAAGCATGTGTATGCTACTATGATTATCAACTAGGGGACCTACGCCCTTAAGTCATAAATGACAGTAATGAGGATTAATGCCCCACAAAAGGGCACTAATATAGCACGTCGACACGGTTTTGATCCCGGGGCCTCACAGTTACCAGTTCAATGTTGGGGACCGGGGTAAAATGCAATGAATTATTGAAAATTCATTGCATTTTCTTTCTTTTTTAAAATTGAAATTAAGGTATTTTAGACCCCAAAATGTGTGAAATTTAGCCAATACGACCAATTCAGCCGCACATTAAAGTAGATATTCATTGATTTTTAAAACTAACTTCATTTTCATTATTGCAAAGTTGAAACTTGGATTCGACAAAGTTATCAAAATTCAATGCTTGGAAACATTCCAAGTAATGATTATTATAAATTACAAAACGCTTAAATACAGCCCCAGCATAGCACCTGAAGAGCTCTCCGAACGCTGCTGAGATGTGTGAGATTACAGTATGGACATGATTTGCACAAGCAGACGATGTCCCATGACGTCTCACACATTTTCAGTGCCTGTGTTTTCATCTTCTCTTGAGTTCTTTCTCTTACTTCACTACCGTCAGGTTAAATGCATTGTCTCACTCTAAACCCCACGCATGGTTTTATTTTGATGACAAATGCAGCGATACAAAAATGAATCTGTCGCTTGTAAACAAAATAAGAAGCCATTGTATATTCGGCTGCACACACCGCGGTATGTTCGGCGTTTGAAGAGGGAACAAATGCCGTCCTTAATATCATTTCGGGGGTTTTTCAATTTGAAAGTCTGATTTATTTGATTGTTAATTAACCCCTATCCTGTTTATTTACAATCAAAAGGTTTTAGTTATCAGAATCGGGTCATATCCCCTTTTGAATGATTTGACATGCCAATACATTTAAAGACACTAAATACATATAATTTGACAAATAATAGCTTTGCAATTATGTTCATTCTTAATGAGATGTCGTCTGCTTGGGCAGTATTGGTCCATATAGTGACGTCATTAAAACATCGTTATTTTTCCGGCGAATCTCTCGTATATCCCAGCTGCTATATGGAGGTGCATGTTTGTATTTTTATAAATCACCCGATATGAAGTTGAACTAAAACTTGTACGATGGCCATATGTTAGCTTACCAGTTTTTAGTGATACATTAGTTGACATATTTGTGATTTTCTTTCAATTTCAACTTTAAACAAAAATAAGGTGACCGTAAATTCATTAATTAATTAAAAATTACAGTACATTGTCCTGCTGGTTGTGCGTAATACACTGTCGCTCATAAAGTTGGAATATTTTTGTCTTACCCCAATTTATGGAATTATTTTAAAAATAATTTAAAAATAATAGATCTAGATAATAGTATACATTCTCAGATTTTATTGAATAATAATTTGACAATGTGTGTTCTGCGTGACTGCTAAAGCATATGTCTGCTACTATGCTTTTCAACGAGGGGACCTACGCCCTTAAGTCATAAATGACAGTAATGAGGATTAATGCCCAACAAAAGGGCACTAATAAAGCACATCGACACGGATTTGATCCTGGGGCCTCACAGCTACGAGGCCATTGCTTTGTCACTGAACCATGACTGTACGCAGCGGGGGCTAAGGTAGGGGGCAGTTTCCATAAATAAAAATAAAAACATAAAATGCAATAAATTTTCAATAATTTATTGCATTTTACCCCGGTCCCCAACATAAACAAATCCTCTGGACGGCTATGCATTATGGCTCAAGGCATGGGCACCAGATGATTTTTGTATGTTGGGAACCGGGGTAAAATGCAATAAATTATTGAAAATTTATTGCATTTTCTTTTCTTTTTTTTTATTTATGGAAACTTCCCCCTACCCTAGCCCCCTGCGTACAGTCATGGTTCAGTGACAAAGCAATGGCCTCGTAACTGTGAGGCTCTAGGATCAAAACCGTGTCGATTTGCTATATTAGTGCCCTTTTATGGGGCATTAATCCTCATTACTGTCATTTATGACTTAAGGGCGTAGGTCCCCTCTTGGATAAGTATAGTAGCAGACATATGTTTTAGCAGTCACGCAAAAGACACATTGTCAAATTATTATTCAATAAAATCTGAGAATGTATACTATGATCTAGATCTATTATTTTTAAATTATTTTTGAAATAAATCCATAAATTGGGGTAAAACAAAAATATTCCAACTTTATGAGCGACAGTGTATAACCAACACGAAAAAGTCAACAAAAAGGCCAACATCGGCATTGGCTGAAATACAACGTAGGCGCTATTTCGTTTTTTCAACGGCTTTTTCAAATTATCAAATATTTGTGGTGGTATTAGGCTTACACAAATATTATGAATCGTTATATTTACGGATATTTCAGCCGTCTCTGAACCGATTTTGATCAAAAAAAGATGATTTTGTCATTTAAATTGTATGATCTTTCAAATTTGACACTCAGTTGTTCATTATCTCACAATTTTGTGTGTGTGAAGTGCCCTTTGCAACAGAACTCAACTATCTCTTTATTCTGGATTGTCTTGATCGATGTTCTACGGTCAAAACAAGTAGCGGCTCTTACAATGTTCCGTGCATTAAATACACTAAGCCCTGATTACATAAATTACATTTTCTCCATTCATAAAACACAATATACCCCAGATCTTGCAACACCTAATTAATACCCCACCCCCCCCCCCAAAAAAAAAAAAAAAAAAAGAGAGAAGAGATTAGGCCTACGGTTGAAGACGTTTCGTGTATCAAGGAGCTTAGATCTGGAATGTTTTGGAAGAGCAGATACGCATATTGTGTCTCGTTAGTTTAATATAAAACATTTCTCAACAAATGTATTTCCCGTTATAGCTAACGGGACTTAGCTATAACTTATAATCTAGTAATAATATTAATGGCCCATTTTGTCTTCCCCCCGCCCCCGCCTTACTCACCCCGCAGGCCCGCCCGACCACCAGCACTCGACGACTCACGCCACTGGTGTTTAAAGGCATTTTTTAAATTTTTTTATACTCCTATAGTATTCCTCTTTGATTTTCTGATTTTTATTTTTATAATATGTTCATTGATTTCTTAGTTAATTTGTATATTTCATTTTCTGTGATTGTATCTTTTCATTTTGTTTTTAATGTGAAATGAACCCCTGAAAACTGCACGCGTGACCCGTGTTCCATCACAAAAGTGGTAAATAAATAAATTAATAAAAAAATAATTAAAATAATCCGAATACTTTTTAGATGTGTAAGGTGGCAATGCGAAAAATTACATCTTACAAAGAGGTGAAAGAAACCCTGGTGAAGCACAATCAAATCATGAAAGACTCAAAAGACATCGATACGTAACATAATTATATCAACTTTAAATGCGAGCGAGCGTAGTGAGCTCTTCATTTGTCACTTTAAATTAGGGGCACATGTTACGGGGAAAAGAAAAGATAGCACCTATAAGAAGGCAAAAGGACACTAATGGGGCGTTGCAAGAAAGTAATATAATCTGATTAACAGGGTTTTTTAATTCAAAATCTGTACCTTTTTTGGATATTTTTCTCGAAAAGATGAACAAATGGATCTATTTTGTCTGGGACATTCCTCCCACAATCTTCATTCGCAGCCACCATTTAGAAGAATTGCAATCAACTGCCAATCAGTTGCAAATTTTGCGCTACCTCCAAATTTATTGCAAAGTTGCGCTTGATGAAAAGTGAAAAGTAAACGCCCGAGTTGCGCTTGATTTTGGGGATTTGCGTTTAAACGCAACTTTCTTGCAACAGGATTGAACGCAACTACTGGCGTTTAATTGCAAATTTGCGATTAAACGCCCGAGTTGCGCTTGATTTTGGGGAGATGCGTTTAAACGCAACTTTCTTGCAACGCCCCATTAGTCTACTAAAAAAAAATTATCAAGGGTGAAAATGGGGCACTTCGAATTCTTACATCAAGGGGCACTTACCAGAGATGAAAAAAGGGCAATTATGTCGGAGAATGTGAAAGGGACATTTGCCGAAGGAGAAAATGCACTTAACAGAAGGACAAAAGGGTAGGCCCTATATATAAGATTAAAAGGGCCGCGGGCACGTGTCAAAATAAAGGGCACTTATCAGTGGTGAAAGGGGACATCAGAAGTGGTAAGAGGCACTAATAATTAAGACTGTGGAACTCATAAAAAGGGGCACTTATCTCTTTTTCTTGAAAAAGTGGGATCGACGTCATGCTGCGCTCTGTACATTGATTCGAGGGTAACCGTAGACCAGCTTTTGGTCGTTTTAATCTTTCGCCCTTTCCCAAATGCGCGCGCGCGTATGATATGCGTACTCCCCACGAATTCACCTTCCCCGATGTGTCCGTACGTGTATAATTATTATGGTGTACTAGTATGTGAGCGAGCACTCTCTATGGCGAGCACGGATCATGTAGAGAACAGTCCAGGCATGTGGACTAGGGTATACCGTCGATCTAGTAGTCTGTATGCTGCGCGACGACGAGACTACTCGATATGATAAGTACCTGGCGCATGTGTTTATGTAATCGCTTGACTCTGAAGAACGGAAGCTGAACTTGCAACCTGAATGGAAATGGAATCAGACAGGACCTAACTTAAGTTTTAGAAAATCGTTTCGAACAGACTTTATCAACAATGTATCGAGCTCCACGATGTCCCAACTGCCGCCGAGATTATGCGGGGCCCCATGTGCAAGGTAAACTTAGATCGAGTGTGAATGATGCCGTGCCCATGCATAGACTTTCACGTATGCTTACCTAAAGGCTACATAAGCATGATAAGTGGCGCTTGTTCAGAAACCTATCCAAAATTTGACTCGTAACTCCGGCGTGGAGATACCTAGACAGCAATAACCATCTGATTTGGGTCATTTCTTTAATAAAACTGACATTTGTTGTCATTCCCCAATACAGATGGCAACCCAGAGATCTCGTACCGTGGGGGTAGCTAGCCAACAATGGCAGCTTTTTGTGTCAAAACATTTTCTCCCCGATTTTCTTTATTTAGATCTAATTTTCTGATTTCTAAATCAGATGTAAATTAGGTCGGTATGTCATTTGTCCTAGACTAATTACAGTTATCAAAATTTGATAACTTAATATTAAATAGACAATTTACGGACTTACTTAGAGTAGGGTGTCTGAACGATTTTTCAATTTTCAATTTGGGATCGTTTTTCACCATTTTTGTTTGATATTTGAATAAAAAATGTTATCAGAATAATACATTTCAAATTTCAAGTCTCACCGATGTTTCTATCAAAAGTTACAGCCCCTCCAACACGCTGGTATATTCATATCATTTTGGTCAAAATCGTCGAAAAAGACGTCCACGCAGAGTGATGTTGTTTTGCTAAATTTAGCCTAACAGCTGTATCGCGCGATATGCAAGCGTATGCATATCGTACGCATGCTGCTAAGCCAATCCGCGACTTGCAGCTTGAGCTACGCTGTCTCCGCGACATGTGCGATTGACTAGTATGGTTGGCGTTCGTCGCACAATAAACCCGGAAGTGAATGCACGTTATAGTCAATGGCAATATCGCGGAGACAACGCACGTTGTCTCCGCGATATTGCCATTGACTATAACGTGTATTCACTTCCGGGTTTATCGAGGGAATTTCCAACCATAATTTCAGTCACTTGAATTTGGGGTTTCGTTCGTGCGCGGAGATGTTACGCGATGTAACCATGGTTTGGACTGAGCGGAGCGCACGCCCCCTAATTAGCTGATCCACCAAATAGCGAGAAGGGTATTTTTAAACTGTTATCAGTTGTGATCCCTGGGGGCTAGCGAAAATATAATCACATAGAATTGTTCCTTAGGACTGGGACTACTTATCGATCGGGGCGTCATATCTCAAAAGTGACAAACCTCAGAGTTAGCCAGGACACAATGTTTAAATTGCTGTTTTGACCAAGATATTTTTAGAATTTCGGGGGCTACGCCCCTTTGGAAATATTGGAATTCACCTGCTCTTTCATATGACACCTCATTCATTGATTATCACCTTCAGGATCACAACTGATAAAGGTTTGAATCTCGATTTGAAAAAAAAAAATTGACTTTTTTTGCATGGTCGCGCAATGCACGTAGGCTGCATAGGGATGCGTGTAATCTCTATGGGAAGAATTTTAGCACACAACATCGGGTGCGCGATCAGACACCCTACTTAGAGTAAAGTAGCCCGTTTTCGGCCACTTAAGACAAAATCCTATTTTTAGGACTCTTTACTTCCTATTTATTATCATTTCTTGTTCAAATCATGAAGCAAATATTATTATTATTTACACAAAAAAAGAATCCCAGATAAAAATCACGAATTGCCATGACAATATCCATTTCAATTTTCACTGTTTTGGAGCCCGTTATCGGCCGAGCGTTTCAGTTTACGGCCGCATGTACAAAGTCAATAGGAAGCGCTCGCGCGCGCCGTGCGTTTCCGCGCTGATGTACAGCACAAGCGGGCGGAGCAGGTATCCCACGCCGGAGCTCCCTGGTGCTCGCCTGGCCGAAGACGGGCACAGCGGTGATCGGAAGTTGGAATCTGAATTAGATAGAGATATCGTGTGTGCGTCGCGGTGTGCGGCTGCATTGATTTAATACATGCGATGACATACTTTTGAGCTTGCGACTAGCACAAAATCGGGCTTTAAATCTGAAAAATACTTGAAATAAAGCTCATTTTATGGTACCCATATTTCTTACAGACACGCGTAAGATACTCGATTTTTCAGATTTGGGTAGCGGGACCGGCGATTACATCGCTAAAATGTGATATTTTAGGATATATTTTCCATTGCAAATGTGGTTCTTCAGTGACACTGGCATGGTATGGTATGTGTGGGATATGTGTTATGCTATTATGCGATGTATTTTAGAGTGATTTTACCTTGTATCCAACCAATCGGCCGAAAACGGGAGCTGGCCGATTACGGGCTCCTTTACTCTATATGAATTATCCAATTTGTATCTCAGATCCGCGAAGCAGTACGTTCATGCATTCGAAATATTACCCGGCGGCCGATATATTTCCGGGTCCACCTACCAAAACATAGCCAAATGGCCAATCAGAGCACTCGTTTCGTGGGAGTTCGTTGGTCAAGCTGGGCCGACTCGTATGTAGCTACGGTAGCTATTGGACGTTCGAAAAGAAAAAATGAATATTCATCAACTAAAACCAAGACGGATAATGTTGACGACGAGACTTTCTCGGATTAATCATTAATTTAGGATCTAAATGAGCAAGCTATCGTAAGTCAAATAAGCTATATATATGTTATTTTTAATTTGTGTTGTAATTGCAGCAGTTATGAGGATGTAAAGAGTGAAAATCTCGTTGCATATCTCATTCATCGCGGTCCGGTCGAACCGAACCATTTGTTCCGTACAGTGCCTCACAGAAAGAGGTCCCCAGACTTCAGTCTCTATAATCGGAGGTCTAGTGGAGCCAGACGTAGTCTCAGTGGAACAACCGACGATTAGAGAGACTGAAGTTTTCGGTCTAGGAGATACCCTACTAAAATATACCCAAAATGAAGTAAATATTCATTAAATGTCCAAATAAAGATCATGAGTTAAAAGTCGTTATGTTTATTACCTGTTTCGTTTCAATTTTCTTGTTATTTTTGGAGTATTTTTCGGATAAACGTTGATATTCTGGTACCATTTTCAATATTTTTTAATCCGAATTCATTTAAATAAAAATTACTTTTTTTTTAAATGCTGTGGAATTGCGACTAAGGCTATGTCATGGCTCCTCATCTCGCCAATGTAGTATTGATTTCACAAGATGTCTAGCTAGTAAGCTCTTTTGGAGTCGGTTTAGGAAGATCAGAGACATCTCCATAGTTGGCGGATAAAGTTATGACTATCTTGTCGTTGGTTTCAAGGAACAGGCCCCAGAGTCACAAAACCTGTCTTCTTGTCCTAAACTATCTTGTCATCTCGGCACTTTAAAGCTTCTGTATGAAAGTGGTGACAGGGTTTACAGAGGACAGGATTTAGGTCCTTTGTGCTTCATGACATCTCTTGTATCTGGCAGACAAAGTTAGTTTTGTGAAGAAAAAAAAGTTTAAAAAGTAAAAAAATAAATGGAGCCCAGAGGTACGGAAGAAGACGGGTTAAATGATGAGAAGTCGACTTGCCGAGTTCCAACAACTCGTTATCTGGTCTTCTTGTCCCAAACAAGTCAACCTGTCGAGTTCCAACAAATCGTCATCTTGTCTTCTTGTCCCAAACAGTCGACTTTCCGAGTTCCAACAACTCGTCATCTTGTCTTCTTGTCCCAAACAAGTCGACTTGCCGAGTTCCAACAAATCGTCATCTTGTCTTCTTGTCCCAAACAAGTTGACTTTCCGAGTTCCAACAAATCGTCATCTTGTCTTCTTGTCACAAACAAGTCGACTTTCTGAGTTCCAACAACAAGTCTTCTCATCATTTTACCTTGTCTACTTGTCTTCTCATCTCGTCATCTGGTTGGCACATAAGCTTCCGTACAGAGGACCTTTGCAAACCAGTCTTGCTTTCGTTCTTGATTTTTGTCATGTCGATGTTTCTCTTTTTCAGGTGGGGCCCATCAGCCGTTGATCCTCAAGTGCGGGCATACATTCTGTCAGGCATGTCTGGCTAAGATCTACAAGTATCTCAAGCATGAACTGGCCTGTCCACAGTGTAAGGTGAGCATCACCATATTTCTTACTTCATTCTGGAAAAAAAGGGATAGGGGGTAGCCTCAGGTTTCTTAATGAAATTTTTCCCACCCCTTTTTAAAAATTCATTGAACATTCCTAACAGTATCTTGGGAGGATTAAAGGATATTTGCATTTTGAAATACAGTGTACCCTCTGCCAATGATGTTGGACTGCCTAAATCAGCTTCTGCTGTGAGGGCATACCAGCTTCAGCCCCATGAGAGGGAAAATAAATGAATGAATAATAAATGTGGCTTCCTGGGCCGCCAATCGGTAGGCCTCTAATCAATTGTAAGTTTGCAGTACTCTATCTCTTATGTACACAGTTGCGATTAATATCAACTCTTTATTAAAAAAACGGGGCCCGGGTCTATCTCCATATGTGAGTGGTTATTGAAAAAAAGTGTGGGATCTGTCCAAGATTTCAATGGATGTGATCATTGTAAAAATAGAAATATTTGTGGTACATTCATTTTTGCGGATTTCGCGCTAAGATCGGCAAGCGTGAATTTTAAAACTCGCGAAAATATAAGCATGACTTCTTTTGCGTGCTTTGAACAGGCTGAATTATGTGCAACTCGAATTTATGAACCAGCGAAATGTGTTTTGGGGTCGATCAGCGAGAAAAATTGATCATGCAAAAATAACAGCGTTTACATTACAGTATGGTATCTTGGGTCAAGTTTGACTTATGTTCCTTTAATGTCTGCATCATATGTTTTCTGTACAGGTTTCAACTCCTTTACCAGCAGGTGAGGTGAGCTTCAAAGAACTCCCCCCTGATTTCTATGCACTGGGCATAGCAGCTTGGACTTACACCAACAAAACTCCAGATTTCTTGTGAGCATGCCGTCCATTCCTTGAACAAATTATGATGTTAATCTTTGTCAATAATTGGAGAAAAGGATTGATCGGCAGCTTGCTATTTTTTCTTTAAAGTTTTGAAAATAATAATGATAATAATAGTACATTGCTTTATAGTAAACGCACAATACCAACATAGTCTCTAGATGCAACTTTGAACATCACTGTATTAATGTCATAAAAACCTAGATCACACATTTAAGAAAATTAGTTTTTTTTCACCTAGGATTTAAAGGGATCCAACGTGATATTCCTTAAATTTGTAGAAGTTTATCCAAAGTTCTGGTGCTGTCTGTGTAAGCAAGCCGATTTTAGAGCGTTCATCTGTGAACATGATAACACTCAAATCTAAACAATATTATGTTGAAGCAGCATATGAAAAGATATTTTTAGATATCATTATTGGAAAACGAACTTTGGTAAGTTTAATTTTTCTTATTTTTTGATATTTTTTAAATCAGTCACATTTCCATCAAGTTGTCTAATAAAACTGAAGATGGGTAACTAAGCCAACAAGATGTTTCTCAGGTTGTATCACAATGTATACCTGAACATGTATATTAATTTGTCTATTTTCTATTCCTTGTATTGCCTCCTCTGATCTCTCTCTCTCTCTCTCTCCCTACCTCTCTATCCCTCCTTCCCTCCCCATCCCACTCCCTCTCCCCTCTCTCTTTTTCTCTCTCTCTTTCCCCTTTTATAAAAATGTTTCTAGTGCACACAAAGTTGAATTCCAGACTAGGCAAGACAGAGATGAATTTAAGGGAAAGGCACTCAAAGGTAAATATATATATCTTCTTTGATATCGTTCTGTTGTTATTTAGTTGATGCTATTTGGCATTATTTGTATTATGTTTGATAGCAGTGAAGAATAAAGCTCCTCTCTCTCTCCATTTCTTGGAAAAGAAGGATAAGAAGGAGAAGAGGAAGAAGAAGGAGAACGAGGAGGAGGAGGAGGGGGAGGAGGAAGGAGGAGGAACAAGGAGGAGGAGGAGGAGGGAGGAGGAGGATGGAGAGGAAGGAGGATGGAGGAGGAGGAGGAGGAGGAGGAGGGAAAAAAAAAGAGGTGGTCAAAAAAATTATGCAGGGGCTATGTAGATGTGGGCAATTGAAGTCCCATCAGAGTGTTTTTACATCGGCAGAAATAGATTGGGTTGAACTAAAAAGCAAGTTAATACTACTTTACTTTTCCTCTTCTTGCTCTCTACTTCTCGTGGTCTATTGCTATTTTAGGATAAGTCAGGGTAGTCCCTGTCATGGCATTATTACCCTTAGGCAAGACTTGCAATAGAATTGCCATCCTTGACCCTGGTGGGTACTTGTTTGAAGGAAAATTCATGTAATGCTAGTTTCATATACGTTTCGCGAAACGCTAGGGGTAATACTCGTCTAATACCATGTTCATTGGAAAAATTGTTACTTTGTAAATCCCATTATTATTTCTATCATGATTATTTTCTTAATTTTGTGTCCTGTTTTAATAGTCCGTCTCTCTACTCTTCACCCACTTTGCAACCTTTCCTCTCTTTTTCAGGAGGTCGAGCTCTTTGTGATGAATGCAGCCAGGAGACAGCCTCCTGTAGATGCGAGCAGTGCGACGAAGACCTCTGTGAAAAATGCTGGAGCAAGCTGCACAAAAACAACTCCAAGAGCAAGAACCCACACCACAGGATCCAAATACAGATGTAAGTTGTAGTTGAGAAAAATATTTTTTTTTTTCAGGCAACCATTTCTAGGACAACGTGCCATTATGCTTGAATGCAGCAGAGGAAAAATACACAGCAGCGATGAGTGATTTACATGTAGCCCTAGAAAGCTTCAAAATACCTCATTACCTGTACATTATACTAAGATCAGCACAAGAAAATTTTGTCTGTCCAATAGCAAATCTTCAAAGATTTTCCATGATCAACAACAAAAAACAAAATATTTGAACTGATTTATGAAGAATCCTGTACTCTGATTGAGGCAGTTATTGAGTGGTTGGTATAAATGTACTGTATATAGCAGTAATACACATGTTTCACCACAGCCTTGTACAGTTTATAGTCATCATCGTCCTCATTTTGCTACAATGTTCTTTTGCGTCAAACTGATATTGTAAATTTTGCAATATTTACAGGAATTCATCTTTCTCTCTTTCTTTGGCAGAGGAGTATATGGGTGTGAAGAGCACGACAACATGCCAAGAGAGTTCTACTGTAAAGACGATGACAAGCCTATCTGTGCGTACTGCGGGCTGACGGGAGATCACAAAGGTCATACGATCATACCCATTGCACAACAGGTAGGTGAGAAGTGACATGGAAGGAAACATTATAACATTGAAGAGTAGTGGTGGTTATTTTACCTGACTGCTAAAAAAGCATAAATGCTTGTTAGTAAGCAAACAGAGGACCGAGGGCTTTAGGTCCTCTCCGAGAGTCCTGGTAATGAGGATTGATGCCTTACCAGGGCACTAGCGCATCGCCTTGGTTTTGAACGCGTTCGCCTGATTACGTCACCACTGCTCTACCAACTGAGCTATCGCGCCTCCTGAAGTCGAGATTGTTTGTCTGTTTGGAAGAAAACTGTAGAATAAATATCTCCTTTGGATTCCCTCCCTGTTAAAAAAATGAAGAGAAATAGTTGAAAATGTTAGACCAATGGTTATAGCATTTTAGAGTTTGATACAAGATATTCTTTTTCTTTGTCTTTCACAGAATGTTGAAGTGCAAGACTTGCTGAAGCCTGCATTTGATACAGCCAAGGATGTCCTCAAGAAATTGTATTACTCCAACGTGGTAAGAAACTGATCCTTGACATTTGTGCTCCTGGTGCTGTAAAGTCTGTTATACCATGCACCTTTCTTGAGCTTTGTATCTTCTCGCATCAAATTGGACCTTGTGGCCGATTAGCCATGTTGTAAACAATTTATCCAATAAAGTCTACTGCTGCTAACTGCTACTACTACTACTACTACTACTACTACTACTACTACTACTACTACTACTACTAGTACTACCAGTACTACTACTACTACTACTACTTCTACTACTTCTACTACTCCTACTACTCATACTCCTACTACTACTACTACTACTACTACTACTACTACTACTACTACTACTACTACTACTACTAGTACTACAAGTACTACTACTACTATTACTACTACTACTACCACTACCACCACTACCACTACCACTACCACCACTACTACCACTACCACTCTTTACATTTGTTACGTATTTTGCTAAGCTTCCTTTAAAAGAAAGTATTTATGTTGTTGATTCCCTTTTGAACAGTTATTAAAATAATGAAAAATCTAGTATATGAAAGAAAATTAACATACCGGTAGTTAAATGGAAATGGTAGGATGAAATGCGATAAAAGGTGAATTCTGAAGCAGAACATCACTGTCTGACAGATGCTAAATTTTATGAGACTTGAATTGTCTATTATTTGATCTGAGCTTACAGATTTTCTTTCCATTTGTTGTGCCAGGACGTTGATAAGGCTATGAACAAGGTGAAGAGAGAGTCCAGCCCAGCTGCGAATGCCATCAGAATGAGATTCTCACACCTACATGCTATGCTGCAAAGGAGGTAATGTAATGTCATGTGATACCGGTATTCAACGACTTCTTGTCTGGGTCTGTTCTCATATTACCACTAAAGGCTTGTTAAGATATGGTGCTGTAAACCCCTGCAGAGAAAGCCGCCGCAGTTTTTTGATGTGTTAAATGAATGCCAACTGCGCACAGCAAAGTTGTGCATATTCACTGAGCTCTGTGTTATAAGATTTTGAAACATGAACCATATTACATATTGACTACGAAAAATCAAATTCAGAATTTCCCAGAGAAATGTTATGTTTCTCCGAGGCTACAGGCTGAGTTTGAAATATTATTGCATGAGAGTGGTTCTAAATTTGGTTATGAATATATGTCATATTGAAGCGTTTATATGTACTAAATGTAATAAACATCTCACTAATGCCTCTGTTTTTTAAATATTTTTGATAGAGACATCCCTCTCGATAAGTTTCATATGACCTTGCTTTATGTAAATCATGTGGGCGGCTAACACAATGCAAACAATGTGTATACACAAGGAGGAGTGGTGCGCAGTCTAATTGACTTTTGTACGTGATAATACCATGCAAAAAAGTGGTTGCCTAGCACGATCGTGCATAAATATAACAAATTGTCGAGAGTCGTGTGACAGCTTCTCAGCCAATACGATGCTCTCTAACAAATACCCTACTATGTATTAGATGTTGATTTTGTTTGTATTTTGCAGGGAAACCATGTTGCTCCAAGAGCTCAACGCCAACGAATCTGACAGACTCGACCATCTCGGTCAAATGGAACGAAGTCTTAAAAACAACATTAGCAGACTGGAGACAGTCATGTCTGGTAGGATTTTTAAAGTGCTCATCTTTATGCCTCCGTTACGAAGTAGCCGGAGGCATTATGTTTTCAGGTTGTCCGTCCGTCCATACGTACATGTACGTCTGTACGTACGTCCCGTTCTCGTGATCGCGTTATCTCAAGAACCGATTGATGAATTCCTGCCAATCTTAGGTCATGTATGTATCTTGCAGAGCCAATGAATTGATTAGATTTTGGGATCATGAGGTCATAGGTCAAAGGGCTCATTATGTATGCAATAATAGCTTGTGATCACATTATCATTAGAACAGATGGATAGATTACCATGAAACTCAGGACATGTATGTATCTTGCTGAGGCAATGAACTGGTTAGATTTTGGGGTCATGAGGTCAATGTCAAAGGTCATGGGGCTCATTATGTATGCAAAAATAGCTTGTGATTGCATTATCATTAGAACCGATTGATGGATTACCATCAAACTCAAGACATGTATGTATCTTGCATGTGGGGTCATGAGGTCAAAGATCAAAGGGTCATACATGTATATGAGAAATAGCTTGTAATCACGATATTCTGAGAACCTTTTAATGGATTTCAACTGAACTAGAATTTGAAAAATTTCTTCCGTTTTGGTTTCTAAAATCGCTCTATGACGGAGGCATCACTTTCGAATACGCGCAGTCGAAGTTCCATCTAGTTTCTTGTTTTGTGTTCAAGATGTTAACCCATCGACTACCTAGTCCTCTCAATTCCACTAGACTTGGTGCCTGTTTCACCCTGTTCCCTGTCAGCAACGGCTCGAAGAGAAGGTTGCATTTGGATAATGGGGACTATTATTTGTGAGGTTTTTCGTTTTTTAAACATTTTTGTCTGGAAGAAAATAATTAACATTGTCACATGGAAAAGAATGGCTCTAATTCCTTCTCATATCAAGTGTCATATGTTTGCGTAGTCCCATGTACCAATTTTTCTGCAGTGCTTTTGACAGTATGTTATTTCAGCAAGATTGGGTCGATTTGCTATGATTCGATGGTTTAAATTGCAACAACACAAAATAAGCTTTTGACAGTACTTCATCAACATTTCCTATGAACTTATAGCATGTCTCTTTCATATATACAGTTGTGTCGTTTTTGTATCGAGTAGCTATTTAAGCCTTTGTTGACAACACTATATTTCCTTGTGTGATTAGACGTAGCACAGTCGCTGAAGGGGACGTCGAATGCAACCCCCAACATGACGGAGATGATCAGTATACTCAACTCAGCCTCGGAGCTGCCATGTTATGTGATCCAAGATGGCGTCCAGGATGAACCAATCGCATTCCAGTCTGACGATGAGATCATTCAACACGTCATGACACATGGGTCAGTCGATAGTTCCGGCAGATTGAGGTAGGTATATTAGATGCTCTCTCTTAGAGGCACTCTTTAATTAAGGACGGCTGTCTTTGTGGCAAGAATCTTTCAGGAATGATAAATTTCAGTCTTGTTACTGTTGTGATGCATTAACTTTGAGCATTAAAGGGGGTGTAGCATGATGAGACTAGGTGTCTTTCCCATGGCGTGACTAGGGGCCAATCAGGTTTAATACGACTACGGATGACGCGACTGCAGTATTCACGTGCGTGCAACATAAGCGAAACCGAAGCGTGAGGAGACCTTCGGTCTGTTTCGCGAAAGCTAGCGCGCACTGACCATTTATCAAGTCCATTCGTTTACTTGCAGTTGTCCTAAAGAAGTTGTACATGTAGATGGCGTTGACCAGTATTTGCCAGGCTACACCCCTTTAAACTATCATAGGTTATAATCTAATTTTTGAGTACGCCTTTTTTTGGGTACAAATTTAACCATGCTTTATATGTATTCACAAATTAGAATAATCTGGTTGATTGTAACATTTTATTTCATCTTAAAATTTTTGTCATGAATTCCAACCTTAACTTTAAATTCTATTCCTCTTGTAACCATTAGCTGGGACCTGAAGACGCAGGATGATCTACCTGACAATTATGTGCAACCCAAAATTGCAGATACAATTCTTAGCAACTCAAAGCTTTTCTCAGTCACTGCTGCTGGCAAAAGTGAATTAAAAAGTAAGTACTTTTCGGTTTTAAATGTCTTGACTTAGGATATTCCATCTTTAAATACTATTCCATCACCTTTTTGCAGAGCATTAAAATAATAATCAATATATATCATGGATGAAATTTCACTGAAATAGACAACACACTTACCAAAGCAGAACCTAAGTAGAATCCATAACAAAGCCATATTGCATTTTTCATTTGTATTTATGACAACTGGGAATTATTTTTAAAAGACCAGTATTTAGTGGCATATTCCATGTTACAAAAAAAAAGCCTAGAGAACTTTTGGCATGCAGCAGTAAGAATGGACTATAAAGCAATGCATGAAACAAAATCACATCCATGACAAATTTATTTTTTAATAGTATGGTGACACAACTTTAAATACAGGGATGATAAAATGCTATTTCTTTCTTCTCTCTTTAGCAAGTCCAAGTGGTAAAGGTAGGGGAGACCAAAAGAAGACTCCCAACCCCAAGAACCATGTCTCGTCTCAGAACGGAACCGCATCACAGGCTCAACAGCAGACCGCACCAGCCAAGAAACGGGGCCAGCAACAGCAGCAGCAACCTGCAGCTCCCAGGAAAGCATCGTCACAGGCTGCATCAAAGATTATAGCTTCATGTTCATCAGGTGAGTAGCGATTTCCAGAGGTGAACCGACAGTTTAGGTAGCTTAGCGATATGAAATGGCATGAAAAGATGCGTGGGGATGGTTTTTTTTTTTTTTTTTTTTTTTTTTTTTGGTGGGGGGGGGGGGGGGGGTTGCGGGTTTTTGCTTTCATTTTCTACACGTGCCTCACACCCTTTTTCTTTTTAGAGGAGGGGGAGGAGAGCCTGGGGAGGGAGTTCTTGACTCTCCCCCCTCCCCCCCCCCTCCCTAAGCCTCTCTCTGGAACTGCTTTTTGGGAGGGGTAGATTCTGATGCCATCTCTCGACCCTTTCATTGTTAATGAGTGATTTGACTTCTATGTAAAATATACTACATGAAAACAATGATGTCTCTTTTACTCCTTTCCAATAGTATCCCAAAACCTGGTCCATGTGGTCCACATTAGATCACCGGCTCGCTTCTACATCCAACGGAAAGCAGACCGCCCTCGCTTGGACAGGATGATGAAGGCGTTGTACAAGTTGTGTGAAAGTGAGGACAAGAAGAAACGGATGCCAGACCCGCTCGTTGTCGGTAAGTCTCTTGTCATTGAATGATTTATTTTTCTTTCTTTGGAATACTCTGCAATGTCCCGTTAGGAACCAAACAGGAGGATGAGGGGGTGCACACTGTTGCTTGTTTAGTTGTTATTGCTCAAGTCTTGGTTGGGGAAAAAGTAGGTTGCTTGTAGTTTGAAGGTGTAGGTGTTTTGGATGTCAGGGGGGGGGGGGGGGGGTAGTGAGTTCCAGTCCTTGATGGTACGTGGAATGTACTTGGGTAAGAATCAGACGTTGAGTTCAGAAAGAAGCATCAAATTCCACAACTTGGTTTGCAGATGCCAGTCAACTCGAGCATTGAGGTATTAAAGACATACAATTCTAGTACATGTTTTATGCTTAGACCTCACCACCTCTAGGCATTTTTTACTCACACATCTTCTCCTTTTGAAAAGGCAGCAGCTTCCATTAAAACTTTAATTTACATCAATTATTGTCCCACATGAAAGTTCTTGTTGTTGCAGAGTTCATGATGCAAAATTAGTGCTTTCCCTGTAGAATAATTTTCCATAATAATAATACTGAAAATAATGGTAGTGATGATAACAATAATAGTGGGTTCTTGTACAGCCCTCAGAGGTTTTCTTGTACAGACTTGCATTTTCTGTTTCTGTTTCGGTTGCGTCGGTAGATTCAGGTTTAACTGTACTTCACCAACGTTTTGATTTGTATGGTCGTGGTTGTGCTATGGAAGGAGAGGTGTTTCACATTTGAAGTTTCTGCTTGAAGACTGCACTGGAGGTAGACATAACTGTTTCCTCCTTGAGTAGGTTCCATTCTGCTGCTGTCCGGTTGAAGAATGAGTACTTGTGCACGTCCTTCTTAATCAATACCATCTGGATTCTTTTTCTGTTCCCTCTAGTTGTTCTTCCCCCTCTTATGTTGTTTTGAATGTATGTGTCGGCCTTGATTCCCACTTCTCCGTTTATGATCTTGTACAGCAATCCTCCTTCGATTCTCCAGTGAATCCCACTCTAACTCCTTGATCATTTGGGAAACACTGCTCATTTTGTGGGGTCAAATCCTCTTGTATTGTTATTCCAGTATTTTTCAACTTCTTTCATGCCTTGATGATTTTGTTGTGTTTCCGATAGCTACATAATTTGACAATGATGGACCGCGGCCGTTGTCCAGTGCGTTTCCCAGTTTCACGCATTGAGGGGATGTGAAGTTTCGTGTTGGTGATGTCGCAGATCAGCTGATAGGTGTCTTCATTAGCATTTTCCTGAACACCAACAATGTGCAATGATGAACGCCTCAAGTATTGCTGTAGATTGTTTGTTGCCATCTCTAACTCCTGAAGTTTGTTTCCCTTCTTCTGTAATTCTTCCTCTACGTTCTTCAATCTGTGTTCCCTGTTATCTATTGTGACTTCAAGGTCACGAATCCTACTCTCATTGTGCTCAATCATTTGTTGTAGTTTCCCAGATGTTTGATCAGCGATTTCTTTAATCGGATGACATCATTTTGTTTTTTCCAGGGCTCCGTTGCTGCTGTAAGTTCTCTGCGGACAGCCAGTGGTACCGTGCAATCATCAAGACCCTCCCAGACTCCCTTCAGAACGGAGGACAGGCGACCCTTGACCCTGATGACAAGGGTGATGAGGAGAAAGAGCCCAAGGTAGAGGTCGGCTACATCGATTATGGCAATACAGAATGGGTGCCGATATCCAGGTAAGGGGTCATTCACATATGACTTTGATTCAGGTGGATTCTAAAGCAAGAAATCCTTATGGCCCGAATTCAAAAAGGAGGTTTATGTGCGTCATATGATGCGTTTTGACGCGTTTCAAACCAAGGTTTGTACAAACCTCCTTTGTGAATTTAGGCCTTTGAGTTTGTGTGTAGCTTTCAGTATCATAGGCCTTCATCTTGATGTTGTCAGCAAGTTAGAGTGGCATGTACTTATATGTAATAAAGTAACAAAAAATATGGGATTACTAGAGGATTACAATTATTTGGCACAAGTATGGAATAAGAATTTGCGAGTTTCCCTAGATGTTTGAAAATGATACTTGTGTGCATTTGTGATACCTAATAGAGGAGGGGGGGGGGGGTTGTTGACCAACCAGTTTTTCCATCATGGAAAGACCTGGAAAGTCATGGAAAACTAAGTTCTTCTGGAAAATCATGGAAAGTCATGGAAATTGATCGTGGGTGTGGTCTGTGTGTAGTCTTCCAATTTGAAATGGCAATGGACGTGGCATTCCTACACCGCTTAGATAGTGCAACCGATACCATAATAAAACTTATTTGATCTAAGAATCTGGCAAAAATGGGTCATGGAAAGTCATGGAAAGTCATAGAATATTTGTTCTCTAATTTCTTTGAGAGCCCAGATAACTATTTTAATCCAGAGGCAGAAATGAATTAAAAAAAATTATCTCAGGGTAGAGTCTGGTAACCTCAAATACCCTGTCTTTGGATACTCTCCTCTGTTCATTCTATCCTCTTTCATTTATATGAGATATATACGGACATGTATTTTACTATCGTTTTGTCATTGATTCTTCTCCAAATGCGTTTTCATGGCTCTCTTCTCATTCAGCATACCTCTTCTTCTCTCTCTCTCTCTCTTTGTAGATTATGCAAGATCCGTCCCAAGTATGAGCGTGAACCAGACATCGCTATCTGCTGTTCATTGGTCGACATTGTGTCAACACAGAAGGTAGAATTTCTTGTCTTGAATTTATTACTAGATTGCTGATGGATTAGCAACAAAAATACACCTCTAAAAATATTTGACCTCATTTTTCTTTAGGTACTCCGTTTTTTAAAATTTAAAATTTTGTTATCTTCTGCACCTTGTAAAATAATCATGTATCAACATAATTATGCACTGCCACTTGTGTAAAGAGGGTATAACAGGTGTCTCAAAGTAGACCATTTTCCCAATGTGGCCAAGTCTAATGTATAAATCTTTGTGAGGTGCCTCAATCATTTCATCATCTGTTACAAATAATTGTTTTTCAATAGTCAGAATGCGAACTACATACGTTAGTTGTTGCCAGGTAGGACAAACATTATGGCTTGTCCTAACTTACAACAGGTAATGTAAATTTCAACTTTTGTTAAAATATATATTTCTTCGACCAGTTTCTTTCCTATAAAGTTTAAAGTGACATTCCAGCTGATACCAATACTTTGTTTCACCATGTTTTATTTAGGATGGAAGATGGCCTAGAGAAGCTTCAGAAGCCTTTCAAGCCATGGTAGAAGGGCAGGAGGCAGTCTTGATGAGCGTAAGTTCACATTACATCTCTCAGTGATTACTTTCCTTATATTGAACCATACACTCTTATTAACCTTTTGGCTTTCGACAAAAAATACTTTGGTCATATTCGTACAAAAAAATGAAACACCGGTGGAAGGTGGCCAAGAGAAGCCTTTGAAGCATTTCAAGCCATGGTAGAGGGGCAGTAGGCAGTCTTGATGAGCATAAGTTCACATTATGTCACTCAATGATTACTTTGTTTATTGGAACATACACTCTCATTACCCTGTTGGCTTTCATCAAAATGAATACTTAATCATATTCGTACAAAAAACGAAACACCGGTGGAAGGTGGCCAATAGAAGCTTCAGAAGCCTTTCAAGCCATGGTAGAGGGGCAGGAGGCAGTCTTGATGAGCGTAAGTTCACATTTAAACCACTCAGTGATTACTTTGTTTATATTGGAACATACAGTACACTCTCATTACCCTGTTGGCTTTCATGAAAATGAATACTTTAATCATATTCGTACAAAAAACGAAACACCGGTGGAAGGTGGCCAATAGAAATCTCAGAAGCTTTTCAAGTCATGGTAGAGGGGCAGAAGACAGTCCTGATGAGTGTTAATTCACATTACATCACTCAATGATTACTTCATGAAAATGAATACTTAATCATATTCGTACAAAAAACGAAACACCGGTGGAAGGTGGCCAATAGAAATCTCAGAAGCTTTTCAAGTCATGGTAGAAGGGCAGAAGACAGTCCTGATGAGTGTTAATTCACATTACATCACTCAGTGATTACTTTATACAGTTAACAACTAAATTATTCATACCCTTAAAGTTTTATAATTTGTTGAGTATGTGAAAAATTGAATTGTTCTGATTTGTGTTTCTTGAGAATGTGGCATATTAAAGCTTACATCTAAAAAGTATTCAGCAAAGGCCCTTATTTAACCAGCCCACCTCAAGTTACGAAAAACAACCAAAACATCAAATTTACAAAGAGTACATGTATGTATAATTCAGTTGTTACCTGTATATACAATAACCTGTTCACCTTACACACAAAATTTGATGGTCACATTCACACTAAAAAGAAAATGGGAAAAGAGGGGGGGGGGGCGGGTCAAGAGAAACCTTAGAAGTATTTCAAGCAATGGTAGAATAACAGGATGCAGTCTTGATGAGTTCTCATAGAACACAAACTCTTGATTGATTTGTTTACTTGAGGCCATCCATTTTAAATCACTTATTCACATTTACTGATGGTAATATTGACACAGGATGGAATTATGGACATGTGAAGCATATTTTTTTATCTCATGCTCTTTCCTTGCTGGAGTTGGAGTGTATGTAACACTGTAAAATACATTTACCTCTATGCTTTAACAATTTGTCTGTTTAGAGCCAGAAGGATGCTAATTTCTGTATTTTTACATAGAGACAATGCTCTTAGCAGAGGAACTGCTTTGTGTATGTGTGTGACATTCTAAAACTGAAACAACAACATAATGACACGTGACAGTATACATGTACTACTCTGAGCCTTTTCATGTCACAGCATGAGAGGGCTTCCTTTCTTTATTATTCATCTATAAGGTGCATGTGTTACACCACAACAATGTAGTGTACTTTGTCCTCCACACTATTTGCTTGTAACGAGTCAAGTGTGTACCTCTGATTAAATATTAATTTCATATACCATTAAATCTATCAATCAAATCTTCCCAGATCCGGAATTTCTGCAATAAAATAATTTGCACCTGCTACCTCATGCACTTGAACTTTTTACAAGCAGGTGTACATGAATGCAAGCAGCTGCTGGTTGTGTGTACATACATATACCATAAGTGCCTTTGTTCATGCAAAATGTATTACCATATTGACTATCAACCAGTTGATTACTGAATTCTCTCATTTCCCCAGGCATTTTTCAAACAGCTTTCACTTATGCTATGGTCACATTAACCAAAAGTAGCCTGCTCGGCGGCCGAGCGGCGAGTTTTTAACCAATTCTGCCCGGCGGCTGCCCGGCCACCGAGCGGCGGCCGCCCAGGCACCGCTCGTTTTTAGGGCATCGCTCGGTCGCCGCTGAAGTTTTAGCGCGGAGTTAAAATTTGGGCGGCGCCTGCTCACTTTTCACTCGCCGCCCAAAATACGCTCGGTGCCTGGGCGGTCGCCGCCCGGGCACCGACCTAATCGCTGGGCGATGCCTAAATTTCAGCAGCGACCGAGCAGGCTACTGATCGGTCGGTCGCTGCTCTGATTTGTGACCATAGCTTTAGTTCCCTTTTTCAATCAGTTGAAATTATAGATGTACAGGTGTACATGTAATTTTTGTATCTTTTAGTCGAATAGTACTGATAATGCACTATACATGTACATGTAACTGGCAGTTTTAAGATACACACGTGTACAGTACATCTGTAGTTCTTTAATCTTACTCTGATCCATCCATCCATACATTAACTGACAGACTCACTCTCACCCAATTGCATGCACAATTATTGACACATTATATATACATGTAATGTATTTTACCTTTACTTTTTTCATGTGCTTCAAATCTTTACTGGAGTTTTTTAAACCCTGAATCAGGAAATTTATTCCAAGATGGACATGATTTCAGGTTTTCCACAGAAATAAAACAACTGAAGACACCATACAAAAAATTGCAGCTAATTTTGGCTAAGTTGTTGTTACCTGACTGTTTTTTGATTGAAACATTTACTTGTCAGGAAAACTCAGAAGGTACGACACATACATGTACATTGTTTCTGTTTGTTGAGATGTTGAACAGTTTGGAAATAAATACCATGAAAATACCAAAGATCAAAGGATTGGTGTTACCATGTAAACTGAGCATAGGCAGAGGCATATTGTCTAATCATTTGCAACATGCAATGACGTCACCTAGCACAATCAATGCAAATCCTATAACTAACACTGGTTGGAAAATATTTAAGATGGTCAGAAGAGAGCTATTATCTGAATTTGCCTTCTGCTCACTTCTTGTTTTCATGAGTGTTGTCATCAGGGACTTTGTGGCGAAAGACTGGATTGTTGCATCCTCTGCAGTTTGAGGAGACAGAGGATTATTATCTTCCAGCGAGTAAGGGCATGGGTGTACAGTGATGTTGGTTGCGTATTGTTTGAGGGATCCCAGACAAAATCGTTACAGTCGCACCTGTCGGTGATGTCCGGTATGGTGGCAGTGCAGCAAAATGTAGGGTATGATCTCTTAATCATCCAAAACGTCTGCACCAAAATGTTGTCTCTCTGTGCAGGTTGCGTAAGCAGGGGTAACCTCAAGCCACGTTGATAGCATTTGATACGGCCGCGCAGGGTTCCGATAGGAGCTGTACAGTGTAGAGAGACCCATACCCCTATCTGATGATCTCCTGTCAATTGACATTGTGCCCTGCCAGGAGGATAAGCAATACGCAACCCTATTCGTACCGTATACTCGTCCAATAGCTCGCTGTCTTTGTACACGGTAAGGATGTATGTACCCACATCAGTTCGTTTTACAGGGTTTATTGTAAGGTAGAGGCAGCAAGTACTGCTTTCACATTGATGACCAAGGGTATGCCTTTGAGGCATCAGGTTTGATTTAGGATGGGCCAAACTGTAGAATGGAGTCAGATAGCCCTTCCTCAAAGTGATATCGGTACTGTCGCAAGGATATTGGAAATCAAGTAGTGCCACCTCTCCCTCTACCAATCTCAGTATTTTAGAGTCACACTGGGTTAACAGGGTAGCTACAATACAAATCAAATGGAATATCATTTTCGGCTTGAATACAGTTTCTGGTAACTTATCAAAACTGTGGTGGAATAAATTGATACAGTCAGATCTGTCAATGATACAAAGGTCCTTTGGCAATATATTTCATTTGTCATTCTTAACCCAGGTGTAGTAAACAGGTACATGTACATGTATATGGTATAAATCAATTCTGGAATGACTTCTGCCCCTCAAAGTGACGATGATAGGTCCCCTCAGGCATCCCATGAGTAGATTACTATGAGTTGCACTGCCTTCATTTGCTTTTTTGTTTGGTATCACTTGGCTTTGGAAATCGATGAAGATCCATGGTTTTTTCCAACTGGAAATACTCTCACAAATTCAGGTGATCCTACAAATATATAAATGTTTCGAAGATGGAAATTTTCAACGAAACAGTCATAACATCCCTTTTCTTTAACAAATCAGGGTTAAATTGACGTTCCCTGTAGAGTATACAATGTACACAGGTCGTATAATAACACTTCAATTTTTAATAGCACTCATATGCCTGGATTACATTTGCCCGTACGATAAATTAGTCTACGATATTTTGTAGACATCGTAGGAGGCTACGGGCTACGATGTTTGTGTTTACATTATCTACGAGCATGGTGCCATTTATTGTATTGGCCCTTGGGGGCAGGCTGGGGCAAATCCGTATAGAGGCTGCTCGGAGATTATACAGAAATCGTGCAATTTGAATGCAGTAGCTGTGCAGTCTCCGCAGCCTCCGCACGGAAATCGTACGGAGCCCGTGCAGCTTCCTTTTGAAGGTTGCGCGGAGAAGGCGCGGAGAAGGCGCGGGACGACTGCTCAATATCACGGATACTGCATGGGCAGCGAGCAGCAACCTTGCGATAGCTGTGCAATGGCCGTGCGAATGCCCCATGAGTCTACAATCTCTGTACGATTTTTTTTGCCCCCATATTCACCGAAAAATCGTATGTTTGCTGCACAATCAGTGCGAGGCCTCCAAGCGATGCCCGTGCGGGGATTGTGCAATGCCACCTACGACATGTATACGGGCTACAGGCTTACAATTTTTTCAAATTTGTTTTACTTCTCGCGAAACAAAATCGTAAAGGCTGAAGAGCCCATGAACCCGTACGTAAATCTCACGGCCACCTCCTGCCTCCGCACAGAGGCCGCACGGAAAAGGGGATACGGGCAGGATACGGGCTCTGTAGACTAATCGCAGGCCAAATGTAATCCAGGCATTAGAGATATTGACAAAT